TCTAATATGCACAAATATGCAAGACTATCTAATTAATATGCAAAAATATGCAAGACTATCTAATCTAATATGCACAAATATGCAAGACTAATCTAATATGCACAAATATGCAAGACTATCTAATTAATATGCACAAATATGCAAGACTATCTAATCTAATATGCAAAAATATGCAAGACTAATCTAATATGCACAAATATGCATGACTATCTAATTAATATGCAAAAATATGCAAGACTATCTAATCTAATATGCACAAATATGCAAGACTATCTAATCTAATATGCACCAATATGCAAGACTATCTAATCTAATATGCACAAATATGCAAGACTAATCTAATATGCACAAATATGCAAGACTATCTAATTAATATGCAAAAATATGCAAGACTATCTAATATGCACAAATATGCAAGACTAATCTAATATGCACAAATATGCAAGACTATCTAATTAATATGCAAAAATATGCAAGACTATCTAATTAATATGCAAAAATATGCAAGACTATCTAATCTAATATGCAAAATATGCAAGACTATCTAATTAATATGCAAAAATATGCAAGACTAATCTAATATGCACAAATATGCAAGACTATCTAATTAATATGCACAAATATGCAAGACTATCTAATATGCAAAAATATGCAAGACTATCTAATATGCAAAAATATGCAAGACTATCTAATCTAATATGCAAAAATATGCAAGACTATCTAATTAATATGCAAAAATATGCAAGACTAATCTAATATGCACAAATATGCAAGACTATCTACTTAATATGCAAAAATATGCAAGACTATCTAATTAATATGCAAAAATATGCAAGACTATCTAATTAATATGCAAAAATATGCAAGACTATCTAATTAATATGCCAAAATATGCAAGACTATCTAATCTAATATGCACAAATATGCATGACTAGAGTTCAACACAGGGTAGAAAGTGACATAACTATTGACAAACAAAAACAAATCAGTATATAGTTCCAGCCAAATATTCGGCTTACGAGTCATAGCTTTATATTAAACAATATTCCTACAAACGATGCTATACACTAATAGACTTCCAAAAAATATGAAATATTTTTCAAAAAAAATTTAGCAAAATCTTTCACATTATGCTATGAAAGTAAATTTTTAAACATTTTGTTTTACAGATGTAGAATCTGGCAAGTCAAGCAAAAATTATCCCTAATGTCTTCAATTAAATATAAAGCGAGTTTCTTCCTCGACCACAGCATAACCACATAACCCGACAATTCACGATCACAAAAATCCAGATGCTTATATCTCCATTTCAATTATCTGAATGGTACAGTTTAATTACTGTAAATGCATTAATTATTCAATTTCATTTTGCTGTTGAGAGGGATTCTGCTAAATTAAATCTGAACATTTCAAATAACAATAAAACTCAGTTTCCTTCAGTAAGTTGACAAATTTATGAAATTGAAACCCAGTGAATATGATCAAAATAGTGCAATTAAATGTTTATGAATATAAATGATTTTTATACAGTAACTAACTTGGCAATTACTGAATGGAATATTAAACAGCACATACAGTAATCTCTGGATTATATTCGTATTTAAGTACAATAGGTTCAACGTTTAGGCTTGTGCAGACAATGTCTTTAGGTAGTAGCAGTAGATAATGACATAGCCACAACTTTTCTATCTGTCTCCAGGATACTTCCAAGTCTTGTGTTCAGGGCATTTTGTCAGTCAAATGGTTTACCAATGATTTAGCCAATTTGGTACACATATTGTGTTGCATTGTAGACCCTCTTTTGCATATAATACCCGGTAGATCTGTTTGATTAGCCAAGTACTGGGAATCTTTTGTATACTGGCCCAAAAGCGAATATAAACTCAATCTTACGCTAGTTGCTAGGCAACCACCCCATGTCCCTGTGCAGACTGCACAACATTGTTTCAAGATATGAACGCATAGCTCAATGTTGAACACTACTGATAAATCTAAGAGCAACATAATCCAGAATTAGTGTCACCAGAGTTACAAATCTTTGTATACATTTTTATGGCATTCCACACAATGCAAATTCAGACCAAATAAAACCAAAGACACAATTTGCCTTACCATAAAATATCATCCAGATGTTTTTCTCACAAACCATGGCTTAGATTTGTTGCACTTCTTGGGTGAACGAACTATAAAATCCCTAAATTGCAAAAGTTTGTCCATCTCTTTTTTTTTTTTTAACAGGTTACAGTTTCATGTACATCATGATTCTAAGCTTGCGTATTCTATTTTATTCCTTGTACGAGTAATGTCATCTCATTAATTCTGCAAAGTCATAAATTTCGAGGGAATATTGTGTTCCAAATTTCATTCTAATCAACGCTATGGTTCTTGAGATACAGAACAAGATTTGACACATACATTCATCCATTCATGTGACATTAGCCTCCTTTTGTGCTCTGCACTTGGAAGCCAAAAATTGTACATCTACATAGTTGAGTTACATGTCCACTCAAGACTGTACTGTAAACATAGTTAATTATTTGCTGAATAATAAAATTTGCTAAATTAAATCCACATGATCTTGTAGAAAAACAATGGACCTCATCGATTCCCTGCCAAGTTTTTGAACTTAACCTTTTCATCACAAATTGACAAAAATAGTCCTGTTTATAGTCTGCACTTTCCTTCAGAAGATTGGTACAAAAAAAACAAAAACATTTTTTTGAGTAAAAAACTGAAAATTGATTCAAATTCTGTCTGTTGACTCCAAAATTAGGGTTCATTGCCAGAAATATTGTAGAATACAAGAAAAAAGTGCAGAAAGAAGTTGTGCGGAAACAAAATTGCTCAAAGCATCAAAACAGTGAAAATAAATGGTTTTACAGTATGTGGTTTAACTCCGGGATCGAGAAGGAAGACAACAGAAATTCATTAGTTTCCGGACAAAGAATTCAAACCCAAAATGTTTATAGTACAATGTAGCAGTATATACAAGTCATTAAACAATTGAATACTGATCATAACGGAAATCAGTTTTTCCATTTTGTCTTGTTTATACATGATGTATTTCAAATTTTATTGGTACAATCAGTTCAAAGCAGAGGGCTTTAGATGTTGCTAGATTTTTATTTTTGGCACAGGAAGCTGAGGCTAACCAACTGCTTAAGCTAAGGATTGTGGGAAACAGACAATCTAGGTTAATGGTAACTGCAAAGGATTATGGACAAGTCATTGTCAATGACACGTCCCCATTCCGTTCATATTTGAGTGACATATACATTCAAAGCAGATCATGACCAAAATGCACCTGCATATGTACAACACATTGTACTAAATCTGAACAAAATCCATCCATGCATGACTGAGATCCGGTTCCGGAATTGTGAAAATACGTGATTTTGATGCATTTTCGGCCTTAAAATGGCCATCCTTCAGCTATTGTGAAGCGGATCATGAAACAAATGCACATATCTATAT